GTGTGTGTGTGTGTGTGTGTGTGTGTGTGTGTGTGTGTGTGTGTATGTGTGTACATTCATTCTCAAGCAGAGCATGAGGTATGCTTCTGCAATCTTAGCACTGGAAGATGAAGGCAAAGTAAGAATTCCGGGCCAGCTCTAGCTGTGAAGTGGGGGGCCAGGCAGGGCTACATGAGTCTGTTAAAAATGCACCATTCTTAAGAAAATGACAAAGAGATTGTTACTCCATAATTACAGAGAACTACTGCTTATCAATAGAAAGAAAACCACATAATGCCACATTCCTTAAATGAGCACAGGACTTAAACAGATAACTCAGAGAAACAAAATTGTGTAAAAACTACTAGAAAGATATATTTGCATGTTACAGTCTTAAAAATTTGTTTCAGTTTATCTGTATGAGTGTGAGCCTGAATGAGTTTATGGACATCATATAAATGTAGATGCCCAAGAGGCCGAAGAGGTCGTTGGACCCTTGGACCTGAAGTTACAGGTGGTTATGGGTGGCCATGTGAATGCTGGGAACCAAACCTGAGTTCTCTGCAAAGCCAGTTTGTGTAATACCAGAAGAGCTGCTTCTCAGTCACTTAAAAACAAATATTACAGTTCATGCTAGCAAGCCTGTGAGATGATCCACTCTTTATAATCTTCTACTGGAAACATAAATCAGGTGGGCGTCCCATTATGGTCAAGTTTCTAAAACCACTATGCTCTTTAATAACTCTGGGACTCAATCTTAGAGTGATGTACAACTAGATTGACTATGGGATTATACGTGACGGCCAAATTTTGGAGAAGAGCTGCGTCTCTATCATCAAAGATAAATAAGTGATACATCTATTGCTTTCAAACTGTGTGGCCAGAAAAAGACCCGTTTTGAGCAATAGTTACTGGTACAGTATGCAATTGCATGGGAAGAAAGCAGTCTGAGTGAATGCATAGGAAGGCATACAAAGCTCGCATGGAGGGCTGGGAGGCCTGGGGAGGGGCCTTCCTCTCTGTTTCGTGGGTGAGTAGATTTATACTGATCCCTTCTAGTTGTAGAATAAACAGAATCCTTTTTTTTTTTTCTATTTTCAAGTTATTAGTTTCCGTTATGGCTGTAACAAATTACCACACTGTCTGCCCTGGTTTCATTTCCTGTTGCTATGACAAAATACCCTGACAAAATCAGTTTAGAGATGGAGAGATAGTTCTGAGGTTAAGAATACCATCTCCCCTTCCTGAGGATCTGAGTTCGATTCCTAACACTCACGTGGCCACTCACCAGCTTTTAAGGCCACAGTTCTGGGGGCTCTGATGCCCTCTTCTGGCGTCCTTGGGCACTGCATGCAAGTGCACAGACACACATGCAGGCAAAATAGCCATATACATAAAATAATAAAATAAAATAAAACATAAAAAAACAACCTTAGGTGGTTTCAGAGAGGCCCGGGAGAGAAAGGTATTCCTTGCCTCAGCTCCCCTGGGGTCATGTGGAATTCTCTTATGATAGTGTCTGCCTCTGTGTCTGACTTGTAAAGACAGCTATAAAGTACATTTGGGGATGACCTGGAGAATCGAAGGTCATCCCCCTACTCCAGGTTCTGAATTTAATCACAGCTGCAAAGACCACCCCCCTTTTTTCTCAAATAAGGCAGCATTTCCATGTTCCAGGACACAGAAGCTGGTATCTTTAGAAGCTATTATTCAATGTACCTTGTCCTGCCGAGAAAAAT